TTAAAAAGGAAAGCAAACAAGTGAAAAGCAGAAAAAAAACCCCACAACATTGTCACTCTTCAGTAGTTCTTAAAGACCCCACCATGTGATGTGGGACTGGATAATTGTTGATTGGAGGAGCGACCGATCCAGGCAGCCAATCACAAGAGTTCATATTGGCGGAGGTGCATCCTCTGAATAATGTCACGACAGTCATTGAATACACGACGGATGTTTTCTGTGTCCACGGCACAGGTGAAGTGAGGATAGCAGTAGTGTTTGTCTGTGCCGCTTGCTGTGCTGATTTTCTGTGGGTTCATGCAAACACACACACACACACACACAGTCCAAGCAGTTACAACATTACACCAACAATAAGAATAACTCATTTATAGCTGACGTGCAAAAGAGTGATTAAAAATAGTGTAAAACTTTACAGAAATGGTGACTATTTAGAGGTCCCAAGATGTAGGTGACTTTTTTTCTTCAGTAGAACATTAAATAAGATTTTTACCTGAAATCATGGTCCTTGGTGATTCATAAAATGCAAGTTAATGGCTATCATCACTTTGAGAGCCAAAAAAGCACACAATTAATACCCACGGCTCCTGACGATATACTGAGGTCTTACAAAGTGAAACAATTGGTCTGTGCAAGAAACTGAGAATTATTTATACCTGTAATGCAGTGTTAATTTTGTCAGCCATTTTTAATTTAATCTTAGTCTTTTAAATAAGTCTTAGTCCTGTGTCAAATGTGTCGAACTACTTTTTAGTTATTATACTTTTTAGTCAACCTTGTCCTGTTTTTGTTTAGTCAAGTTTTAGTCGACTAAATTTCGGAGCATTTTAGTCTAGTTATAGTCGATGAAAACTTGCACTTTCGCAACTGTCAAATTTTCATCATGCTGTATAATGGTTAAACTGCTCAAATATATATTTTTGCTCAAAATTATAATCGCATTAATTGTTGTCATTTGAGAAATTTATTTTTACCTTTTAGGTATTGCACTTTCACCAATAAGCACAAGTCAATAGAATGTGGACTCATAGCCTACACATGGTTTATTTTACCTCATCTAGTGTACTGATTATTTAATATATAAATTAATATCAAAGACTTAGGTATGCACTCTCTCTGTCTATATTATGAAAACTGGTAAAAACAAACAAACAAACAAAATTATAACTAGGGGTGCACACAAGTTTTTCAGTCTGGTTCTCATCAGAGCACCTGGAGATTTGGTTTGGTGCTCACACTGCACATATAGTGTGACCTATTAAATATAACTATAAAAATAAATTATAGTAATAAGAATATTATTGCACTTTACTCAGTTTTTTTTAAATCAACTAAACAAAATAATAAAGTGTGATAATACTATTATATATTAAAATAAAAACTGAGTATTAAATAAAAATACAATTATTTTACAGTATACCTAAAAATAAAATGCTTAATTTTACATATTTTTTTTCCCTTTTTACTGTTTGATTTCTTTATTTGAATTTTCATCATTTTCAAACCTAAAATCAGCACGCTTTTTTGCGTTTGCGGGCTTTGCAGTGAATGAAATGTCAGTTTTGCATTTTGCTGTGAAACCGGTAACAGATAGCCTAGGTTTATGCTTTCAGTTTGAAATGAAATCGTATACAGGATTACAGTTAGTCGATCTAAATCAGAGATTGTGCATTAACAGCTGTCAGCCATGTCAGTACGCCAGTGAGCTGTCTGAACTTATTTCCACAGTACATTTTTTATTTTGGTCGTTCTTGCGTACCACTTAATGTGCACCCCTGTTATAACAGTGAAATTCCTGATAGTAATTCTAATAATTCCAAATTGCAACAAAGTTTCTCTATTAAAACAACAGCGCAGTGTTGTAAGTGCATTTATTCGCATTTAAATCGCAATCAAAATAGTCAAGATCTCATGACAGAACACAGACTGATTGAATGACACTTTTAAGCCAAACATCTCACATGGAGATTGCTAAACTCCAACTTACTTGTTTGTCTGTGTTTTCAGATAATCATCAGAGCTTTCATGATAGGGTGGCCAGATTTCTCATGGTTCAATACGGGACGAGACGGGAGGTGATATATGACCACGATATGAGAATTTTTTTTTCATGATATCTAAATTATATATATATATATATATATATAAAATCTAAAAGGCTTAGTTACATTGGATTAGGCTGTTCTCGCGTGACAGAACACTTCTACTATTGCTCTGATCACGCAGTCGTAAAGAAATGTGGAAATACGGGATAAAACATGATTTTTTCAAAATAACTAAAAATAGAGCTGAAATACGGGACTGTCCCGGGAAAAATGGGACATCTGGTCACCCTATTTCATGATGAAGTGTGAGCACATGGTTGCCAAATTGGGGATTTGAAGTCTTGATATCTGGTAACCACACACAAAATCTTGCGTAGTAGAGGGATGTACAGCAGTCTGCAATATTTTGTCTCCTTTTTTTCCTCTCTTTCTTGACGAAAATAAAAAGAGATTTTGGTATAGTTTTTATTTTTCAAAATACATTTTAGTCTCGTTTTTTATCGTCAACGGTATTGCATGTTGATATAGTCACAGTTATCATTTATTGACCTTATTGCCGTCTTGTCATCTTCTCATTTTAATCATGGAAAAAAAGCTTGTCAAAGACATTCACTGTAATGCATACCCACAAACAATGAAGTCTGATTCTTTTCATGTCTGATTCTTTTCCACCAACTGAATTAGTTAGCAAAAACTGGCATCATATTGATTATATTTGCCAGTACACTGGATCAGTCGCAGTCTGATTTAGTGCACTGGTTTATCGACTTCACTAAAAAGAACAGGTTCAAAAGAATTAGTAGTTCTGGAAATTTAACTGGAAATCACTCCAGTTTGCCTGAGGCTATGGTTTACAGGTAATAATGTTGTAAATAATGTTCAGTTTCTTGCACAGACAGATTATTTTACAATACCTCAACATATTTATCAGGAGCCACAAGTATTAATTTTGTGTTCTTTGATATGCCTGTATTCCCTGAATTTTTCTTTTTAACTGTTCTACAGAAGAAAAAAGTCACCTACATCTTGGATGGCCTGAGGGTGAGTAAACTAAGAGCAAATTTATTTTTGGATGAACTATACCTTTAATATTATAGAAGAAATAAAGAAAATAAAGAGAGTATTAAAAAAAGTATTTATACCAAGAATTCATCTCGGATAAAAAACTTTGCCCTGGACACTTTTGGGTCTTCTCCGGGATCAGGGGTCGCTGTGCATATAAAAACAGATATTATATAGACATTATGCCATATAATCAATTTAAAAAATGGAAGTGGGCATTTTAAAGGATGGCTGAGTAGGCCAAGTCTTGAATGAAATGATAAAACAATAATATCCACCTTATTTTACAAAGGGTTTTTCCACAATTTGCACAAGTCAATTTCAAGCACTTTCAACCATTTTCAAGGTGCAATTTCAAGGTTTTGGAGCAAACCTTTAGACTAAAAGCCCTAAGGGACGATGGTAAGTAAAACACTTGTTTGTTTTTTTCCTCGATGGGTGCAGGCTCATTCCATAATATGGACTTTTTGATTTTGCAATTCTTTGACTTAAATATCACTAAAAGATTTTTATTGTAAAACAGAAGTAAAAAAAACTTTAGCAGTCCAACTATCAAAATCTGCGTGGCAAAGCTGTGCAATGCACTGGACATTGTAGTGAAGCAAAAGAAAAACATTTTTTATTTTATTAAATGTAAAATGTATAAATTGGTTAATTTTGGTTTCTGACTTATTTGGTGCGTTTTTATTCGTCATCTAAAGTTCCAAAACAAAGTCACAGCAAAGCATGAGGACTTGCGCTCTTCAAAAACAATCCCAGAATATGACAGAGCTTGTGTTTAAAGCGAAAACATACACTGGACTGAATAATTCACTGAAAATGCAACAATTATTGGGGATTGGGACAGTTCAGTAAGCTTCAT